CGGTGGTATTGCATAACGTGTTAACTCTGACAAGTCGGCAAAATTTTATTATATTATTTTACGACTACCTACTACTGATGTTTTATTTGCATTGCGGTCATATTTTACTTCAACTACTGTGCACAAGTGTTAGGTAAAAGATTATAACGAGAGTATTGTGCGTGCATGTCGTTCAAAGAACACACGACGTCATCAGACTTATTTATAATAATTGCCATCTTTGTCGTCTGCTCGTTCATCTTTATCGTTAGCACATTACCATGTACGGGTTTTGTCGCGTTATGGCGCGGTGATGTTGGCAGGTATTATTATTATTATTATTATTATTTTGTGTACTAAAGTACAAAACTAGACGACGTTAATTGTTCCCCGACAGTGTCGGTCTTGGTCGGCGATCGATCGGTCGGCCGGTTAAATGTCAATAACAATAATATTATTATGTTTTATCGTTCCTCGCGTATCTAAGATTATCGTCTCATAGCTGCTGCTGCCGGTGTAATGTAATGATAATAATAATAATAATTGTACGATAACGTTTGTACACTAAAATTCTGTGTTTTGTTTTCACAAGTTTACGGTAATCGTCGAGCGTTATATACCGCACGTAGGGACGTACCAGAGACGACGTCTGTTTACATAACGGCCGAAAAACGGTTGGTAGATTGATAGGGGAACGTTAGGTGCGTTTCGGTCGGACAGATGGCGTTAGCATACCGAGCACGAAACATTACGAAACCATTGATACTACTTACCACCGAAACGTTGGCGTCGACTAATGGGGACGCCGCTACACACCATAAGCAAATAATACGAACCATTTCCGTGGGTTTAACAGTTTTTAAATTCTTGTACACAAATCGTGTGTTCGCATTTTCATCTCTCGTTTTCATCGAAGGCAATTGTTCAAACTCGTTTTGGTAAAATTCCGTAGGTACGTAATAGTTATAATTATTTTAGTACAAATATACCATAATATACCTATATATATATATATATATATGCATATACATATATTACATTTTAATAACACTGTCTCGCTATTGGTTCTCGGAATATTCCTGTCCGAGTAACAATATTATTGTAGTTTATTACGAGCGTGTGTTACACTTTGTCGTTCACTAGGCCGAAATATTTTTATTTACAATTTTTCGATTCCTGGAAGAACCCAAATCTAGTAAGTATGTATCTTACCATTGCATTACAATTAGATATTTTATTAGGTATTTACTATTATGTTATTGGCAGGTTAGATTATCACGAATTTAATTTCTAATCTTATCTAATTTGTTTATTCGTGTTGATGATGGTTTCTGTATGGACCGCTGCGGGTATACCGAGAGAAATAATAGTTGTTCGATTTATGAAATAACTATTTTAGGATTGTTTTGTTTCCAAGAAATTATTTGATATGGCCTAAAATGTAATATTATGTGTCAGTTTCAGAACAATTTTTGTATGTAAATTGGATTTTTAGTATCTAATAATAAAAGCTTGTATTGCCGTTTGCTGACTTGTCTGGTTACATTTTAAGAAAATGTTGATAGTTATTATGGATCTTTATCTGTTTTTTTGACCAAAAACTATTATTGATATATTTAACATTTTTAATTCGTTAAATTAGTACCTTATATTGTAAATAATATTATTCTAAGATTATGTTTTAGTTTTAATGTTAATGAATTTATAGCATAAATAATTTTATTGTTGTCCCAATAGACAATTTTTTTTTTTTTTTATTTTTTAAACGGTATATACAATCTGTTCCTTAGGAACAATAAGAATATGAGATAAATGATAAACAATAGACAAAATAATATATACAATTGTAAACTTAATGTCGATATGTATCAAAATTGTGTGTATACAAATAAGACTATTTGACTGTAAACATATTCTTGTTAACTAATGTGCATGTCTATAGTAGAGCTACAACGTTATTTACTAGCAGTATTTTATAAATAACTTAAAATAGTAAATAATGAGCTTAGGGTGCGTTAGCAGCAGTTGACCGTGTTTTTCTATAGTTGGATGTATTGTCATGATTTTTGATATTCGATTTGTTATTTGGAATACTAAACAAATATTGAAATGTTATTTAAGTATCCATTAAGTGGAAGATCACATTTTAAATTTACCAAAACAACCAAATCAAGTACTTTTAAATAGCAATTATGATGGAGTTATCTAAATAATTAGATAAATATTTATTGGCATCTCTGAGTTTTGTCCTATGTATCAAAATGTCATTACTACTACCTACTCTACCTATTTCAAAAATTTCGAAAAAAGGTATTAACTAAACTAGGTATTTCATTTGAACACCATTTTATCTTGAATAAATAGACTTTGCTTTATCATTATAATTTTCATATCTGTTATGTCTTACTGTATAGAAATAAATTAACTAATGATTGATTAATAAGTAGGTAGCTGATTATAAATTCTGCTAGGTATAGTATTTTTATTACTCATTACTTACAAAGTGTTTTCATGCATTTAAACTTTGAAGGAAAAACTATAATATTGTATTAGTTTCCTAGGTATAATTGTAGATCTAACTATATAGTTATACATATTGGCGAATATCGAAAACTCTTTACAACTAAATTAGACAATTGTAATTTCTATATTTTATATTATCTGATGTATATATTTCTATACATAAAAATTCGATAAAACTTCTTGCTATGCTTTTTGAATACATTGTATTTCTATGACATAATTATTTATTACCTATCTATTCGATAACCTCATTAGTTATTTTATCATTTATGGAATTATTTTATTTGAAATAATATTAATTAAACCTATTATGGTGATGCCTCTACTGACTATAATACAATTTTTTTTTTTTATTACTTTTACGATTTGTATTAAGTATTCAAAACTCAATAACAATTTTGCTGTTATTAAGATTTAAAATAAACAAAAATTATATTCCGGCAGATGCAGGTTTGTTTAATACGTGAATATCACCAGTATACGTATTTAGGACGTAAATTAAAATATTATTGATCATATTATTATTAAGTAATTTATTTGATCATTATTAATTATTATCAACAATTATCTCATCGATTGAATAGTGTCTCCTAATTCTAATAATTCGTTTCGGACGATGTGGAGAGTTACCAATTATCCAGGATTTCGTGCAGCCGTGTGCACGAAATCATTGATTTAAATGGCGTTGTGTATTTATAATCAATGATAAAAGGGCGCGCACAGCCCAGGCAGTAATAAAACTTTGCATCCCCGGTGGCAGCACATGCTGTGCTCGGCCGGGCTGTGCTGTGCTCCTCTTTACGCCGTTTTACACCACAGGGCGACCAAAATCGCAGATTCGGTCAAACGTTCGTCAGGGTTGGCGATAATCTAAAATTGTGTCTTCGCCGCCGGAAATTTGTTCTTTGTCCAAAATATTATGAGTTTTCTTTTTGTCATTGTCGTCTGTGAATAACGAACGAGTCCGCGTATGGATTCGAACGAGCAGCAACAACCCCCCTCGTAATATTATATTATAATATAGGTGCGCGCACATGTTATGTCACGCACAATATTATTTTGTCATCGTGTAGCACGATTTGTGTGCTATGACGATGACGTACCGCTCGAAATCGAATAACGGTTTTTTTTAAAATTATTTAATCATTATTTGGAATTGGTAAAATTTTGTGTTGACGCCGACGGTGGAAAACTTTTTAAAGGTTAAGGTCGGCTGCACCGTTCGTGCGGGAGTCTATTTGCCGCGAAAAACGTTATGATTCTATATTATTTTGTTCTAAGGGTCCTAAGAGTATTAAAGATTACCCCATTTCGGATTATAAACGCGATGTTGTTCTCGATTTTCGAAAATCCCGTGTTTTTCAGAGTAAATGGCGGCGGCGACGACAACGCCGGGACGCGCGCGCGCGCGCGCAAACACACCAACGACTTACACCACATAATATCCCTATGCGTTAAAATACGATATTATTATTATTATTATTGACCGAGAGGACGCCGTCGCGCAGCCATTGCCGCTTATACGCTTACTCTCCGCCGACGGGCGCCCGCGACAGTCGCCAATTCGACGCCGAACCGCGTGTTTCCCAGTTGGTGCACCGAGCGTCGTACGGCACAAAATATCCAAAGAGCATATTAACCACGATGCCGGGCGGCCGCGGTTCCGTAACCGTGTATCGATTGTTGTATCCGAAAACGATTAGTCGGCGGGCCAGGTACGGGAAGAATAAAAAAATAAATTCCTAACCAAAAATCCCGCCATTTTTAACCGTCGTGTACGTACGTTGTGTAACAAAACAATAATATCACGGTTGCACGTATTTTCAAATATTTATATACATATATATAATAGTATTATTATTATTATTATTATTAACAACCCAAAGTAATTTCATCAGTCTGTGCGAGTGGTGGCGGCAGTGTGTACGGTAATGTTGGTGGTGGTGTTTTTTCGTTATTCGGTGATACGATAATTTTTCGTTTTAAACGTCTTTTATTGAGAAAACCGTGCCACTCACCACTATCAACAACAACCGCGTTTCCTCCGAGAGAATATTCGTGCGAGTGCGTGTGCCGCTGGAGGGAAAAAAAGGGAAAGGACGCTGCCGCCGCCGCCACCACCGTGCGTCGTTGGCGTATATGCCGCCGTCCGAGCGCGCCTTACGTCGGCGGTGGTGAACTGCGGAAACCTTGAACGACCGGTGGCCTTGGCGCGCGCGAGCGCGGTTTTTATTTCGTTTCTCTTGCCGCGTCCCTCCTTTCTCTCTCTAGCTTGCGCGCGCGCGCCCGTCCGTCCGTTTGCCTGCCAGCCAGCCCGGTCGCCCGCCCGCCCTCCCTTTGTACGCGCGCATATAAATGTTCTTTGTTCGGCCGCTCACGATTTCTAGAGATGAGGTTGGCAATGCCGGTTACCGGTAGCTACACCATGATCGGAGGGGCCGGCCGCGCCATTGGGTTTTTACGAAACGGGCGGTGGGGGTAACATCCGTTGTCGCCGTCGTCGTCGTCGTTCGGCTAGTGGCGGGCAACACGCAGGTCTGCCTCGTTATTTTTTCTCCTTCTCTCCGCCTTTTCCACCGCAGTTTTAACCGTCGGCCGCGCGTTTACAGTGAGATATTATATACTAAACACACGCGTCCGTCGTTCCCTTTGTTTTTTTTTCCGCACATACTCGCGTGGTGCACACACATATATACATTCGATTTCGCCCCGCTACGCACTCGGCGGCACACCACATACGTACGTACGCGAGCCGACCGAGTATATACATACATACACACGCACACGCCGACGACCACGTAACGTGTGCGCCGCGTTCGTATAGTTTTAATATTTTAATATATACACATAATTTGACTACCGACACCCGCCGCGTATCAAACACACACCGCGACCAACAGTGCCCAGTGTACGCGCGTGTGTGCGTCACGTCTGGTGTCCGATCGAGTGCCGTGTGTATTATCCGTGTGAAAAAACCCGCACCATTCGCAGTCCGGCGGCATGTCCGAGAACCGCGCGGGCAACAATGTCGGCTGGGGCAACCGGGACGACCACGCGGCTGCAGCGGCCAACCTGTGGTGGGGCAACAGCCAGGAACAGCAGCAGCAGCAGCAACAGCACATGCAGCAACAACAGCAGCAACAGCAACAGCAGCAGCAGCAGCACTTGCTGAACCAGCATCACCAGCAGCAATTGGCCGCCGTGGCAGCGGCCGCGCAGCAGCAACAGCAGCAGGCGGCCGCCGCGGTGTCCGCGGCCCAGCAGTTCTATAAGATGGCGTCGTCGTTCAGCCACCAGCAGCACCAACAGCTGCAGCAGCAGCAACAGCAACAGCAGCTGAACAACACCGGCGGCGTGTCGACCAGCAACAGCAACAGCAACGTGTCGACGACTGTCACAAGCAGCTCCAGGAATCCGATGGCCAACTACGCGGACAGCTACGGTATTGCCGCCGCCGCCGCGGCTCAATGGTGGTCGTACCCAGGGGCCATGGACAACAACATTCAAAACGTGCACAACGTACCGTCGCCTAACTCGATCATGGTAATTGGTGGTGTTGTTGTTGGTCGTGTGTACGTGTAAGCGTTTGCGTTTATCCCCATGCACGCGTACGTACGTGGGTACGTACGTCGTATGCGTGTGTCTGATAACGCAGCGACATGCGCGCGCTCGCGCTTCACACGATTATTTATCATTATTTGTGTACACAATAAAATGTATTCATCGTAGAATACGATGTATGTAATGCGCGTTTGTCTGTAGATAACTGATAAATAGAAATATTATTTTCGCGTGCGGCCGTGCTTCCGGTCAGGGTTTTTCGTTTTGCCGGTTAGTTAGTAGAAGTCGATAATCTCGGTAGCAGCAGCACCGTCGGTCGTTGTCGACGACCATCGCTTTTTATTTTCGTTCAGACCGATGTAGTCTTCACGTTTCGCGTTGCCATGTATCTCTCTCCTTTGGAATTTTATTCAAATGACAACAACAACAACAACAACAACAATAACAACAATTGTTGTGTACATCTCGACGTTCGTTAATTATCACTGACCGCGTGACGCTGAGTAGTATGAGCGAGCGGTGCCGCTTCACCTTATCTCTCATGTTGTGCGTTGTTGTGTATTTTGATGATTTCATTCACAATATGTTCGTCAGTCGTTCTTTTTGTGCCACCTAACCGATAGGACGACAACGACAATGTGTTTGTGAAATGCGATTTGCAGAACTCAGTTTTTTGTTTATGGATTTCCACTTTTTCTCTAAATGTGCCCACCTGTCCAAAAACGAGTGGGAAACCATGAATTTTCGTGTCCGTCCTAAGTCTCGAGATTTTACTGAATCCTATCGGGTTGGTATTTCTTATTGCCTACGTTTTTTTTTGTACTTGTTTATTATGTACTATTTATCGCGAAAAGCGTCGAAACGTAGTACGCATTTTTCTTGCAATTCCGACTGATAAATTTGTCATTGAGTAGATAAATAGAAAGTTATGTGGCCTTAGAACAACGCGCGAGTTACCCACATTATGTTATTATTATTATTATTATTATGTTATAACATTGTTCTTGTAAACTGTGATAGTGGTCAATGTGTTCGGATTATAATTTGTTTCTGTTTTTTTCTACTATTCACCGATTAAAAATTGTAATAGTTGTAATTTTAGTAGGTAGGTATCGTCTGCCAGCGATTCAATAACCTAAACCCATGGATATACCTCAAGTAAATGAACAAATTCCGATTGTGCCTGTGGGTAGTGTCCGCGGCATGTTGTCCTATATTCTACTTGTTGTGTTAGTTTTGTTCCCAAAAATAGAATTGCTTATATTTATAAATGTTGGACAATAATATTATGTAAGTTGCCGCTTAAATGCACAAATAATGAGAAAAAAATCTTTATGTTTCGGATCCTATTCCTGTTTTCTGTGTACTCATCTACGGGAACAGTGCGTTTCAAATAATTAAATAAATTAACTTGACGAAATCATTTATTTTAGGTAATATTTTAATAAATTATTATTGTTATTGTATATTTTGAGTACCAATGTTATCAAAACAGATGTTAATTGTTCACAAAGACAGACAATGCCAAGGTTTTTTTAGAGTTCTATAGCCTTCATGGATTATTATTTCTGGTCCAGCAGTTCCAAGAAAATAATTTATTATTCACTACTAGTCGTTTGCGTTCGCGTTGTAATTTATAAATATTATTTGGTGTATCTAAATTATTTGTTGTATTTTTTTCGTCCAAAATAAAATTTGATTGTTATTAACTAAAGATACACGATAGGTTATAGGACACATTTTTTTTTTGTTGCTAAAACTGTAATTTTAAATAACTATAATCAATAGTATATATGGTTTTACATGTTTATTACCTTACGCTCGTGGTTTTAGCATCGTACATTAATTAGTAAAAATATTTTAAGAACTTCAAAATACTTTACTGCTAGGGAAAGGATTAAACAAAAACCTGTTTCTTTTGTTAGAGTAGTTACAGGTTTTACTGTTATTTTTTTATTTTAATAATTGTTATTTTACTGCCAGTAAAACCAGTTTTTTCGGTTTAATCGAATTTGGCCTAAAAGTTGGTGCTTTTTATGTCTTAACTAACTAATTGATTGTGTCAAAAGTTATACTCTATTATCTATTACGAACAAGATAAGGTGGTATAATTGATTACATTTTTGCTTATTAACTTCAGTTACAAGGAATGAACGAAAAAACGATAAATAATTTTTATACACCACATTACACAGTAGTTTTCTGTTATAATTTAATGATTAGCTATTCTTGAATTATCATAAATTGTGGAAACCATTGATAAAAGTATTATACCATTGATCAAACTATTTGCGCGTTGTCTACAATAAGGCTGTAATGTGAAGAATGATTTTTATTTTTATATTGATTGGCCCAGGTCATTAGCCTTCACTTTCAATAATTGTTGATTTACAATAAACTGTTTCACTTAGCTATTTAGAACAATGTAAAATCGCATAACACGTTAAAACACTTCTGATGAATGAAAAGAAGAGAATCGTTATAGAGTTTTACACTATATTAAATTATGTAAGACACTTGCATTTCTTGTCTAAATTATTATGCACATTTAACTTGGAATTTGAATTATTCATATCTTGGTATTTCCATACAACTATTCACCACTGATTAAATATATTTTACATCGTAGGAGTATAATATTGTTATCATTTAATTTGATATTCCCAAAACTATAGGAATCAAAATAGATTCTGATAACTCGGTATATATCATAATTATCCTACTGTGATACGATGCAATTTATTAATAGTAATCAGACAAATTATTTTAGATTTTAAAAATAAATACAGAAATGCTAGTATCTTTAAATATAACTTGTTGTTTTTTTTATAAAAATAGCTAAATATAATTTGTTTTCGTGTCATATAACAATTGATTTGTTAAAACTTTCGCTTTCATTCAACATTTGAAGACCAGAAACACTAAAATAACACTAGTTATTTCCTCGTGCTCTTTCGTGTGCCCTTTAATAATATATTTGTCACTTTAAAAAATTCAAATTAAATTTTTGATTCGATATAATAACTTTTGTATTATTACTAATTATTTAAAGTAAATGTATACAATATAATTATAGATATTTTGAAGTGTACTTTTTGATTTTGGTTATATGGCACTAACATAGTGGTATTTTGTATAGATATCTTTGTGTATAACACTGTTAAACCTGTTTTTATTTCGCCCTGGACCTTTCTAAAGACTGAACACAATGACGCGATTCAATAACTACAAAACTTTTGTTCAATATCATTGGTTATCTTGTTTTTTAGCAATAAGCAATAACTATTAATTATAAAAATGGTCAACATATTTTTTTTGGAATCTCGCCAAAATGAATAGAAAAAAAAATCCATAAATAAATATAATGATTGATATAATTTACTAATTAGTCTCTAGTTGATAAGGATATTATCACGATTTATCTGAATGTTAGCCATTGATTATTTTTACCGATAAATTTGAAGAAGTGATTTTGGGGAACAGCACTTGAATAAGCTCTAATGATGCAACGATGCTAATTATAATGTAATGATTATTGCAAATAATTATGTATTTCCTAACGACCTTTGAACATTCGTCATCTTTAACGTGCATTGTTGAATTCAAACAAATCGGTTTAATTGTGGTTTTTCGATTGTAACAGTGCTCAGCATTGTGTAGTAAATGGTAACTTAATTTACTTATTTCAAAATTGTAAAACGGTTATTTATTTTTTATTGATATAGTTATTTTATATACTGGTATGTACGAGTACGACAAAACGTGTATTAAAGGCAGATGTTTATTGTAGAGTGCACAAACCCCACTAGTTTTCAGGTGTTGTTCCGAAAATGCGTTTTATGTAACGACTAATAATAAGCACATGTATTGGGAACGTATTGTCGAGTGGTTAACTCAAAGATGAGTTAAATTTTTACCGTTGGTAAATGAAAACAAAATACTGTTTAAAATAACTGAGCTGCGACTATCGTGGTGTCGTAGCGTGTGCGGTTCGCCGTTGCACGTGGATATATTTAAAAATGGAATTCTGCTGTGCGATGAGTAGGAAGGACATCGACTTGCGTCTTAGTGTGCATTTTGTGCGTTATAAATAATATAATATTAATGTGAGAACACTTATTTTTTTTCAGAACCGAGGGAAAATGCCTAGAGGAAAAGGGACCGATGCGAAACCCAGAGGTCGTATGACCGCGTACGCGTTCTTCGTTCAAACGTGCCGCGAAGAGCACAAAAAGAAACACCCTGATGAGAATGTCATTTTTGCCGAGTTCTCGAAGAAATGCGCCGAAAGGTGGAAGGTCAGTGTCACAAAACCTATTTAATATTTACGTTTACATTTCAACATGGACACACACACACACACTAAAGCGGCTAATTGGCCGCGCGTGCATAATTATAAAAAAAACATGTGAGTCGTCATCACGCCGCCGTTTGTGTCCCCCAACGACGATGGCGAATAAAAATATTACACGTTTCTGATGACCGACAAAAAATATAAAAAAAATCCGTAATTTTTCCTTTCTCCCAGACCCAAATCGAGCCTCTCTCGTGTACAACTATAAACCACCGAGCTATGTCATGATGAAAAAAATCCAGTAAATTTTCTCTTTCCGACCGAATATATTCTCCAAATTTTTCCATCGCGATCATGATCGAGACGACGGCGTTTGTGCGAAGGCTATATGCCTGTATTTCAATATTTTCGTTTTCCATTCCAAATTAAAAAGTCAAATATGACACGTGTTTATAACGTCCGTGTACGGTCTCGTTGTGTAGGACTCTCGGCGGCAGCTGGAATTCATTAAAATTCGAACCGTAAACAAAAAAAAACCAAAACCGTTTCTTTTAGGAAGAAATTACTCGGTCCGTCGTCGTCGCCGTCGTTATAACACCCATAACAACGTACATTATATATAGGTAGACACAAAAAGCGATTGCGCGTACCACCTGCTCACCACTACTACTGCTGTTACAGAATTATTTTATTGTAACGATTTCGTAATTTCTAAGACTTGCTGTTCACTACTATAAAATAATATTATTATGTACCGTCCAACGATATAATATTGTGTTTTGCGTCGGCGTGTATGTGTCGTTTCTACTCGATTATTATTAGCAACGCCTCCCGAATATTATTGCACTCGTTTCCTGCGAGCGATAAAATACAATTTTTGTTTAATATTGAAAATTAAACGTTTTTAATTTTTCTCTGTCGAAACAAAATGGTTGGTGTGGTGTGAGTGCGCGCGCGTTTGTTGCGCCAGCACCATGTCTTTATGTGACCGTGTGCGGTTGCCGGCCGGCTGGGGTTTCGTAGGACTGGTTTTCCGTTAAGGGGGTGAGAGGATGGGTCAGCAGCAGCAGCCATCCAGCACATACCAGGGAACCAGTTTTTGTACGTTAGATCGTCGTTACCCCGCGCGTTCGATACGTTCCCGTCCTTGTGCGTTCACAAACGACGAACAAGCACACACGCACGATTAACCGGCACCCACTGCTGCCAACAATAATATAGAAGAAAAAAAATAATATTTCAACCGTCTCGCGTTATTGTTGCAGCCGTCGCCGTTCGTTTTTCGTATATAAAACAAAATAATATTATAAATTATAATATTTAATATATTTTCTCGTCCGTATAAATATTATTTCACAACTATTCTCGCAATCGTGGTGGCGCGTGCGCACTTAACGTGTATATTTTCCGTGTAAAATTGTACCCAGGCTCGCGTTTATTTATTATTAATGTATAAGCAGGTACTTTATTTTATTCGTCCATTTCGGTTAAAACACGCGACCTCGGGCCTCACCGGACACATTAAATGCCTTACGGTGGTTAAAAGGGTGGAAGGAATGGTGGTAGCAAATTTGTTTTGTTTAGAATAATAATGTAGCACAAGTTATATAGAACGCGGAAAACGAATTTTTAATCGTATATATTTTTTCTCATAGGACATCATAGTAATAATAATATTATAATAAAAAATATTATTGTTGTTTCATCAAGTTCGCCATAAATATTTATTGTGCGAGTTATTATTTATTATTAAAAACAGTAAAAAATAAATTAAGCTGCAGGAATCGTAGTAGCCGGGTTATTTGCCTGCTGGTGTCGTCCAACAGGGGGTGTAGAGGGAGTAAAACTGCTATGCGTGTGTGTTTGTGTGTGTAGGAATGAGCTCGGGGGTTCCACCATCGATTTTTTGTGTGTAAAATGCTGGGGTTGTTTTCTGGAGGGTGCGGGGATAACATGGCGGCGGAGTTTAAAACTGAGAGCGCTGGCGCAATTATTAAAATTAACCCCCTCCCCCCTAAACATCACCCTGTGTTCGCCGCACCCTCGTGGCACGGGTAATAGCCAGCCTGCACACACGCGCGCACTCGGTTCTCGCACATTAAGCTCTTTTCAAAGATACATCGGCCATGGCAGGGTGATGGTGCGGAGAAACGCAGAGGGTTGGGAGTTATATAATATCGACGAATCTCTATTATAATGCAATGCGCTGTGAATTCTGCTGCTGTTGCCATGTTCCCCTTTCTCTCTCCTCACATATCGCGTTCTGCATTTGTGGTTTGAGAGTCCTCCTTACGTCGTGTTCCTGTATAAATTCGTGTTAATTTAAATGTGGTTGTCCCCTGTTAGCAAGCCTGCCACCGCTCTGTCTACCGTAGAATAATATATTATTGAGTTTTAAATTTTGCAGTGTCCCGTGGGTTGTATGTATTTGAAATGCTCCACAAAAAATCAATTGGCTTGCTCTAGACCATAAAATAGTGGCGGGGAAAGGTCCAAGAGGCCAGACACTTTAATTTGATAATCTATTAACTAATTTTAAATCAATTATTCATTAATAATAATGTAAACAGTAATTAAATAATTAGCTATTAGTGAACAATTATTTTAAATTATGTATATGATTAACATTGGATATTGATGCAATTTTCCTTTCCATATTAAAACATTAAATTTTAATTTCTACACATTCATCTAAATACAAACAATAACAATACATTAAAAATAAATAACATAAGTACATTGTAGTATTGTTCTGATATTTATTCATTTTTTTTTTTGTAGACAATGAATGAGAAGGAAAAGAAAAGATTCCATGAGATGGCTGACAAGGACAAGTTGAGATATGATACTGAAATGCAGAGCTATATTCCACCCAAGGGTGAAAAAGTGCGTGGAAAAAAGAGGAAGCAAATCAAGGATCCTAATGCACCAAAACGTTCCTTGTTAGTGTTTTATTAATATTTAGAAGCAAGTAATAAAATATTTGTTAACAATGCATTTTTTGTCTTATTAAAGGTCTGCTTTCTTCTGGTTCTGTAATGATGAACGTGGAAAAGTTAAGGCTGTGAACCCAGAGTATGGCGTTGGCGATGTAGCCAAAGAATTGGGCAAAAAATGGTCTGATGCTGATATTACAGTGAAACAGAAGTATGAAGCAATGGCAGAAAAAGATAAAGCCAGATATGAAAGGGTATGTAATTATTTGAATAAAATTTATTGAACATTTAAGTATCACTTTTGGATATCCATATTCATTTTTGTAATTGCTCAACAGGAAATGACCGAGTACAAAAACAAGGGCAAGCCTACCTTGTTACAACAACAACAACAACATCAAATGTTGGTACAACAACAACAACAAATACTTGCACAACAACAGCAACAGCAACAAATGATGGCAGTAAAAGATGAAAGTGACGAAGATGATGATGATGAAGACGATGACGAGTGATCTCTTTCAGATTCACATCAGAATCTTTTTTTTTCTTTTCGTACCTCGAAAATATTAATTTTAAAATTTGTAAATACAAATAAGTTAATTTTTAAGTTATAGATTAAAAAGTAATTTTGTACAGAAAAACTGTAGAAAATTGGTTTTGTCTCAACAAAAAAAAATAATAATAAATATTGGATTCAAATTTTTAATTTTTATATTAGAGATTCCTATATTTTTACTAAAACTTTACAAAATTTACCGTAAAAATATTTCTTTACAGACTGATATATTATGATGAATTTTAAAATTACATTTTAATTTTCCAGGAGTATAATATTAAATTATGCCATTGGATTTTTTATTTAATTAAGGTTTTAACTGAAAATTACCTCCTGTAAAATATAAATGTAATTTTATTTTTTGTACATACAATTTTTTTGTTTATTTTTATTTTTTTTTTTAATTTGTAATTTTAATATTAGAAAGAAAACCGCATGCGGAAATAAATTGCGAGATCTTTACCATTTCATTATTTTCATATAGGAGATTCATACTCGTATGTTGTCTAAATCGATTTTTATTTTACAGTAAGTTTGATTTTTTTGTTATGGCGAAAAACCACTTTTTGTATTTGTAATCAGATAAAAAAAATGGATATAGTCCGTAACATACAAACTTGATACTGTTAATAAGGATATTTATATGTACGTTATGAAAGATGCACTTACGTGCTGTGTGACAAATATTCTCGCAAAAAAAAAAAAATAAATAATAAAAAATTTAAACAATATATTGTTTCGGCTTTTATTTTTAATTATTTTAAGTTGATGATATTCTGATAAACTCTAAAAATAATTCGTGGTTGAAGGATTTCAACAATTCATTGGTTTAAAATTGTTTTTATTTACACTCATTTGTATTAGATATATCATAATATATAATATCGGTTTTAAGCAATAATTCTATTCCAATTTCGGCAATTCATTTTAAATCAATTGACAAATTATGTTCATTGTATGTTTTCATCTAATTTTAATGGTAAATTACATTTAACTACAATTTGGTTAAATTAAAAGAAAGATCATAATCTATTTTTTAGATTTAGCTTATTGAGCATATTTTTTATTGTAATCAATTTTAAATATGCTCAATTTATGTTATAATTTGTATAGATAAATTTATTGATGTATTTTTTGACTGAGACAAATGCTACATTTTTAATAAAAATAGAAATAATTTGAACAATTTAAAAATATTAAACATCATTTATTATAATTTATAATTATTATTTTTTTAATCAGTATACGCAACGTACGCAGTTGCTAACTTGTGTTTTAAATTTATTATAATTATTATTTTTTTAATCAATATACCCAAGAAACAGCAGTTGCTAACTTGTATTTAAAATTATAATTTTAATAGAATATAATATAATCATTACGAAAAAGAACACAACTATTTTTTATTTGTATAAAATGAACCTAGAGGTTCTAAATTTATTGTTATAAAACGCTTGTTGAATATTCCGATGATTAAGAACCGATTGAAAATTAATATAATGTTTTAACAGTTCGTAAAACCCCCCCACTACATTTTCTAAACCATTTTTTTCTTTGGTTAATAAATATTGTTGTACCATACAGATAGTATCATGGTGTGTTTTGAGTTTTTAAATGTGTATGCTGTCATTAATAAACTAGTTAGCCAGTATACCCATACTTGGGTTTGAATATTATAGAATGAGATGTGCATTGCATGAAAATGTAAATGTGTTTTCTAGTGGTTTAAATGTTGATGTTGCTTGAACACAAACGTTTGATTTTTACGTAGGTTATGACGTAATCGCGGTAAATTCTATTGCACTGTATTCTGAGCTTCTTGAATTATAGAACAAAAATTACTTTTTTGTGTAACGCAACGCTTTGTTGTGGGTGGAACTCGGTCGCTTCAAACTTTGTGTTGCACTGAAGACTAAGGTTTTTGTGTTGATTATGCGCCTAACCATAGCTGTCTTAACTTGACACGTGGTCGGTCGACATTTTGAAGTATCTTCAGCCAATGGTGTTATTGGTGGGCGTCTGTTAAAAAAATATAGACCGCATTAATAATAACAATACTATATTAATAGTGTTTGTGCATCGTCGTCTATGGAGCAACAACGCAGCGAGGAAGCTCGTCTTCTGTTTGGTCAATGTCAAGAACAATGCGATTGTATCGTTGAATTTAAAGTGAAGATTAAACTGCAGTGATTTCTGGGCGCCGGCGTTCGTGTGTGGAATAATAATAATGATATTTACTGTTCAATTACCGGGATTAATAATTTATTATATTTGTAATTAAACGGCGATCAAGTTACGAGGAAAATCTGTTTCGTTTGCGTACCTATACAATATACATGTAATTATTGTTATTATCATCATCGCTAAACGTAGTTGGCCGCCCGGTGCCCATAAAAAGCAAAAACATCATCGCCGCGGATTACCGCTCAACAACTATAATAATTATTATAATACGTAGTATATGTAACGCGAATCTCTCCTCCCGTCCGCCTGGTATAGGTTTATATTATGTAGAATATTTAAACAACTATCGTCGGCGTAAATGCCTTGTACCCGGTTAGTAATTATTAATCACGGTATATTATTATACAGGTGCCACTCAGCATTACATTTTTCGACATCGATTCCAGATTTGCCTGGCGCCGTTCCCATCTATTCCGCCACTTACCAAGCTTTTACCTGGGGTCATCCCGGTCGTCACTTAACTTCATTAATATTTTAAAAATAAATTTACATATTATAACAAAATATTTATTTGGGTTATGTATGTTCATCGAATAATATAATATTGTTGATTAAAATACGTAGTACTGTAGACAAATAGGCAATTAATGATGTTATAAAGGTAAGTTTAAATTTTTGAAATTATAGTGCAGACATTGTATTACATGTACAATAAGTTAAAAAATTAAATATTAGATATCTAATCTATAAAATAATAAATCGGTTACCGCTTATCTAAATATTAAAATCAAAAAAACATGTTTTAACTTATATTATTAAATATATTCTGTTTTCAATAAAAATTATGTCACGAGTCTTCTTGAAAACTAAAGATAGCATTTATGGTTAATTTTATCAACCTCTATTGACAACAGCCTATTAGTTGTTGGTTCTTTGCTATCATAATAGGTGGCTAATAGGTAGCCATTTAATAGGCTAATAGGTATAGCCAGTTAAAAAAAATTTTAAAATCAAATACGTAAAAACAATAATTACAATGATAACTTTTATAACTTATGAAATTCAATCATGGGTTGTCTACTTAATTCTAGACATATTTTTCATGTAAACAGAACAACAAGTACCAATCATTCACGATATTGGATTAACATTGGCTTTTCAGGATTCATTGAATTTGTTTCCAGTGTTTTGTGTAATTAATACAAAAAATATGTCTAGAATTAAGTTGTAGAAAATTATAAAATTGTTTATTTTAATTTGTAATTATGTTCATAAGATATGATATGTCAACTTAAGCTAAACAAAAATCGATTAAAAGAATAATTTTAACCTAGGTTAAGTCGGTTATTACACCTTGTTTAAAATATAAATAATCATATTTAGGTATTATGTCGATTTTTATAAATTATTTTTTCAAAATTTGAATAATTATCAGTTTTAAATTCTAATAGAACCTAATACCATTGAGTATATAATTTATATAACAATACAATATACACTCATTGGCAAACGGCAATTGCCAATTGGTAATACACTTGAACCGATTAACTGAATACCTATATATATTATATATAATCAATAATGTCTTAAGTAAATTTAACCAAATAACGATTTATATATAGGTTGGATACAGTGTTAAGGATACAATTTCAAATTTGCAAAATCGATAGGTTTTTTAAATCTATAGACAAGTTAAGACTTATGATAGGTACCCTTACTGGCTGAATCGATTAACCACATTCCACCGAACAACTACACTGCAAGTACGAATTAAAGGGACCGTTATATCGTAGGCCTAGAATTGCAATAATATAAATAATGGCTCGTACATTTAGTTTTGGCAGGTCTTATAAAATATCATTCATAATTTCTAAGATTGTATCTAATGTTTAGTATAAAAAGTTCTTAAGTTTCCGTTGTGAAACCTAAATAAAATTGCATGCCCGTGATTGGCACGAATCATTTGGAAACTTACCACCATTTGGTTAACAATTAAATTACTATTTTTTATGGTTGTGCACTAGGGGTGAGATAAATATAGGTACTTACCTACTAACGATTTGCGTTGCGTTGAAGCGATAATGCATATTAAGCATACCTATAGCATTTATAGTAAAAGAACAGTACAAACTATTTAAAAAAAATTAACTCCTCTCAAGTTCAAAGTTCAAACCAATGTTGACAGTGCGTCAGTAGTATATACCTTAAAATATCTGTAGTTGCATTAGATATTTTTATTTCTTGTTCATTTTTGTGGGGATAGAGATTATGACACGTACATGGAGCTATCTAAACACTTATATAGGTTGCATTCGTACAAGATTAGATTAAAGATCCAGTAGGATCCACTGGATCCAGTCACTGTTTGCAAACATTTTCGAATCATTACCAGGAGTTTAGCCGTTCAGGGCTATATTAATATTATATATTATAATATTTATAAGTTATAACTCATAGGTCACTACTTATAACCTATAGAATATAGATAGGTCACAGTGGTTTATAGGTACTGTGAATGGAATACATAGACTTGCTTTTATTTTTGAAATTTTCATTGAACTGTTCATCTTTTGCGATTGCTTACAATTATTACGACTTAACAATTTGGACGTTTAACTTATATCTTGTACTCCCGTGGTTGTAGTTATTTGTACAAGCGACAATAACATTGTTCAATGTAAAAAACACATTTTATTGTTATTAATTGCTTTTTATAATATACTATATTACTACCACTATAAATTTTCCCTTGGTATAGTTGGCCAATTGCCAGACTCATTTCAAAGATAAATTTGATAAGTAAAAAAAAGATGAAATTCTTACTACTAACATTATCTGATTCAAAACATATCGGCGCTTTCTGTTTTTTTTCTTTTGGCAGGCCAAAGAAAGCGTTTTACTATAAATAGTTGCGAATACACACCCTGTTCAGTGCTCATTCGCACTATTACACTGATGATGTACGTGTTTCAAACCTCAAATTTCGACCGTCCACACTTCAAAACAACTTAATTTCTACTTTTTTATGGTTGTATATTCATTTATAATTTTGTACCATTAAAACTTCCAAAATAATTCTTTTCTTACCTAATAATATAGTACACACAACCACAAATTATTTAAACAAACATACCTGCTATATAGTTGCCACATCAGCACAGTAATAAATTATATTTTAAGGCTTAAGCTTCGAACTAATTACACTAATGTAGCCATATAGGTCAAAAACACCTAATATCAATTAATAATTGACAGTTGAATAATGAATAAGTAATTATGTTAATAGTCTATTAATTAACATAACATATCACAGGCTAATAATAACGTATTGCATTGAAATATATCTACATTGTTCATAAGTCATAACTCTCATTTTCTCTAATTGACCAACTGTTTAATAATAGTGTTATCAAATATCAATTTAGTAAATAACAATTGTTCATGAATCGTGATAAAAACATTTTTTAATGTGTTTTTGAAATGTTATTTAATGTGCTTTTAAATTTTTTTTAAGAAAAAGATGGTTTTTAATCTTAACCGAATGAGT